TGAGGCGATAGGTGCCATGTGGTCACCCTTTTCTTATGTGTTTAACTGGCTGGTCTGGCTGTTTCCCATGCCAACTACGGGCAACCTCGGTTCACTGTTTGTACCACCTGTTGTGGGCCAGGTCATGTCGTTTGTGGGATCGTTGGGGGTGGTGTCAATCATGTATGAGCTTGTTGACTTGTTTGTACCCCCGGCGGTCATTCATATAGTAACATTTCTGCCTATAATACAGTCTGTGTATTGGTTCATCTCCCTGCTGGTGTTATCATTTTTGTTGGGCCTGGTCATTGGCAAAACGGTCCCTCATGTGTCAGAGCAATTTTTTTCAAATGCAACGGTGTCACCCATCTGTCCAACTACAATATCAAATTTTCTGCTTAACTGACTTTTACTAGGGCCTGGCATGTAGAGGTTTATCACACAGCCTGTCTCCTCAGCCCAAATAAGCCACAAGCCATGGCCCCACCCCTCCCAGCACTGGGCAGGGGCCACTCACCAGAGGAATAGGGAAGTGTGTTGCGTACTGCAAATGGCGCAGGTCATAATTGGACGGGAAAATCGCTTCTCTCAGGCGTTCCCTCTTCACTGACTTCTCGCTGGGAGCTGAAATTCTTCTGTCTAAAGAAGAGGTCACACTCTCACAAGGCTCCCCAGGCATCGGAGAAAAAATCTAAGTCGTGTAAAACAAACGGTTAAGGTAAGCTTAGCCGATAGCTTTCCAAATTCTGCAATCGCATTCAGAGGCACAATTTTGTACTTGCTTACTGTTACTTTTTAAACACCTCAGCTTTTTCAAAGATAGACAAAGCAAGGACAATCATAATCAAGCCTGCAATTTAAAATACACATCCACATTATATCTCTATGCATATCTCCATCATTATTAGACAAGTTTAAACTAGCAGTATTCAGTCAGGAAAAAAAAGCACTATGATTCAGAGTAATCTCCACACTTCTTAGGCTGCTGTGACACAGAAACCAGAATGAGAAATTCCAGTGATTGAGGGAAAATAATGAAAAGGGCGAAGTGGGAGGTGACAAAAGACACTGTAGGCAGGCATGTAATCATCATTCCAGTTACTTCAAAAACAAGTGGTCTCAATGGGGTTCTCAATGTCAATGAGGTGGGTAGCTCTGCATATTTATTTGGATGTGCTGGGGGCAAGAGGAGGGAGGGAAGGAGGGAGAGGAGTGTCAATGTGCAGGTGGGTGACTAGGGGAAGCACAGGAGGGCAGAGAGCTGTCACACAGCAGAGATTCAGAAAAAGGAGGAGAAGCACTGACAGAAAACAGCAGGGACTGGATGCTGAAGGACATCAGCTGCCAACAGAAGCATCGAGGTGGTGCTGGGGGCACAGAGAGATGAGCAGCAGCAGCAGCAAGCACAGGCATCAAAGGCATGCAGAAAATCGAAAGTTAAACCTACTGGAAATTCCGAACTAAAATCTGCCTTAAAGTCACTCTTGTCTACATCATCAAAAATACCAGCGGTTCCTCTGTCAATGCCCACATGTTCCATAATACTATGATCCTGATAATTGTCAGAGAGAAAAACAAGCATCAATCACACTTTACTGAAGACCCATTTAACTGATCAGAGGCAAACCCAAGCACTCCATCTACTTAAGAATTAAAAAAAAAAAAAAAAAAGTTTTGATGGTAAGAAGTTTTCAGATACTGACTTCTAAATCTTTATGATAAGCCTCAACTCACAGAAATACTCCTCAAGCCTAAATCCACAAAAGCACAGAAAAAGGAAGGAGCCAAAGGGGGGAAGAAAACTTTATATTGCATCCCTATCCCCATGAGCAATTCTGCTCCAGGGACATCTACAGAACAGGAAGCTGATTTTGGTACCTTCTAAGATTTAGTTCCTACTTTGTTGTACCACAAAAGACAACTTGTGGAAACCTCTGGTATTTCAGGACATATTAGGCAATGAGATCAGCAAAGAGGTATACAAAATAAATTAAAAAGAAACATAAGAGGATGCTTTAGCAGCCCACAGGCTCCAGGTGGACTGTGCAGGAGAAAAACAGGCTCATCTCATCACACGAGCACAAACGTGGTCTGCAGCCCCGAGCTTAAGGCTGCCCTCCTCTCACAATGCCACGAAAAGGCCACGAGATGCACATGAGAGGGAAGGCTGGGACACGTTACCAGGTTTGTCTCTGCAGGCTGCAGCAGGGGCCATGCAGCCCCCACAGAAGCCCCCGGGGGTCTGCGGACAGATGACCAGGCCATGCATAGCTCATGCCAGCGCTGTGCCAGTGTCCCCCATGCTACCCACAGACGGGGGCTCCCTCCAGGCTCCCGCTAACAGCTCTCCCTTCTCATCCTCAAGCCCCAGCTGCAAATAAGTTTTTTCATTGGTACATTTAGCAGTCCACATGTTGCCTTTTTCTTTGTCCCAAGTTCTTTAGATCACCAGCCAACAGTCAGCTCCGCGTACTCACGTTAAAACATACAAGAATGTACAACATACAGCTACATACAAGAATGAAGCTAATGGCTCACTTTCAGTCTTCTCAAAGAGAAAGAGACAAGAGACACAGATTGAAAAATTTAGTATCTCATGTCTGAAACACTAATCATTTGGTGAAAACCCACATCTAACGAAACCGAGAACCAAACATGGGAGCAATAGTAGGAAGTGTTACCTCCAGTTTCACTTCATGATCCTTAGAACAGTGCCCTTCCACTGTTTCCCCATTATGTGAACGTGGTCTAGTAGCTGCGCTGATTGACAAGTCTCCACGGGATATTAAAGTGCACATGTACGCATCATGGGAGAAAACATCATGCCGAGTGAATTCAGAAAAAAGCAGCACCAAATTAACGAACTCCATCTTCTCATGGTGACTATTTGGGTCAGCTACCCAAAAAAAAAAAAAAAAAGTTAGACTGTAGTTTCAACTTACAAATATTTGTGTTTCAACTATCCAAATTGCAAACACAAGCACGTTCATTTTAAAGGCCTACTAAAAATGTCCCAGGCATCCTGCACAGGTTTCTCTGTCTCCACAGAACAAACCATTTCCCATCTAACTTGCATGTTTTCACTTTGCTGCCAGCTCCAGCTACGGGCCAGGCTTCAGAGAGCAGGGCACTCCAGACCATCCAGCCCCATACACACCTGCCCCAGTCAGGTGGATGTGTCAGCAGTTAACTATAAAGTTTAGATACTTTCAAAAATTAAAAAGAGAGGAAAAGAGGGCAAGGACATTCCTTGTGTGAAGGAAAAATTAAAATTGAAGCTGTGGATTATAACAGACCACCCAATGGTTGTCCTTTCCTCTCAAATTGTATTGCTATAGTAAACGTTATTTTCTCATCTGT